TAATTCATTAGTCATACCGTCAAAGGATTCTATAATGATATAATTGAATCGTTATTATGCACAAAATTATATAATTATAGAGACGGAATCGTTATAATATCGCGTTAAACCTTATCGTCGGGCTATTTGTACTAGTCTGTTAACAGGACAACCTGCTCGACTCGTTTTCTGTCTCTTTCTTTTAGTTAATCATCAGTAACCGTAGTATGATGTTGAGCATCAATGTTAAGCGTCACCGGATAAAAGATGACGATCTATCTCACATTTATATAGCTTCCATTCTATTAACGTTTCGCGAATACGCTAAATCTTTAATCCTTAATTTTTAAATACAATATTAAATGAATTGAAAAACTGTAGTCCATCTTTTAATTAGATGTATGAAAGAAGTAATCTTCTCTTCTTATGTGATTTAAATTATATATATATATATATAATTATTTCGTAATTTTCAATCTTTTTGCACAATTTGTATATTATCTCATATTTGCTAACCATTATTCTTCGAAAAGTGATTGATCGATCTCTCTCATATAATCTCTCTCATATACGATCAATGACTGTCCTCATCCTAAAACATTAACGCTAATCTCGATTCGGATAATTCCACTCACAATCAGTTTCGTTCATTAATCAGATGATTGATATTTCGGTCTAACATTGGAATACTATTATTTTACGGTAAAGAACTATATACTTAATTAAATAAGAAACAATTGCGCCCGTTTTATAATCAATTTTACCTCGAACCATGCCATTGACTGACGATCGATCGACATATGGTCATTAGGCATCGAGCCAGTAGTTGGTGAGTCAGACGATTGGCTCTTTCGATCGTCTCGGGTCAGGCTTTAAACACCGTTATTGTGGTCGATTCATCTTACGAGTCGATGCTTGACTTACTTTGCTGACCCGGAGACCCAGTGAATGTGTTCTCATGAATGTCAAATAAGTATATCGCGCAAAAAATATAGGGAATGATGTGTGAGAGCGATATTTTGTGCGGCTGACGACATTTTTGAACGTTACTGCATGTGTTACATGTAATAACGAGCGCACTTCAAGCGAGCAATAATAATTCTGCAATCTAGCATCTCGTCATATCAACGATACGTACGTTCACTTATTTGCATGCAAATCGCGAATAATGTATTTGATAGACTGTAACTGACGGTTCGCAAAGTAAAAATTAAATAACAAAGTATAAACTATTATATATGTATATATATAAACTCACATATGTTCGAACAATCTTCAGATATAAGAATATTTAAATACATGTTAAATGTCTTTACTTGAAAATAGTTTCTTCTACATTTCACTTCGTATTATTCAGGAAAGTCTACATCAGTTTGAAATACGCAAATTTTTGATAAACCATACGTTATCGTTGCAATATATATGAGCAAATAATTCTAAGCGCTGTATTTGAAATACGAGATTGCAATAATTTGCATTTTATCGCAGGAGCTTTCATTCCCGAGTATTTGCATCTTTCTCTCTTGCAAATTGCATATATTTGCTTTAACAGATCGACATCAAAGGATTCAGCACTCAGCGGTAGCATTCTGTGTTAGTGAATTATTTCACTAATAACATCTAGGTTTCTTCGTGTTTTTGTACGAGTTTCGCGATATGATCTTCTAACTTTATGACGCTACGCCACGTCTCAAATATTTTATACATAACGCGGTGCAAATTCCGCGTGCAATTCAAATTACAGTAACTTCAAATAATTCCACGGAAAATTTGCATTTTAAGAGTTGTCCGTGGAATCCGTATCTTTTCCTCCCTCTTTGATTTTTCATATTTTTTCATAGAACAACGATACTTGATTTATTCGTGATCAAAGTTGAGTACCAATGATTTTAATGATTATAGTAAATATATACCACATTATTGTTTCGATTACTTAGTCCTGACTGTTCAATGCGTCCGCGATCGAAAGCTTTTAACGACAACGAGCAACAGTTTTAATTAAAGCACGATGATTTACGTATGTATGCTCCGACGATATTCTTCGCAATATTATATCTTGAGATTGCTTGTTAGAAATGCAGAAGCGAGACAGGCTGCTCGAGAAATCGTGCGGATGAGAAAGCTGACGGGAAGATTCTTAGGAAGAGAAACGGATGATTAATCATGGAGCTCGCGTAATAAGCCATTAGATTCCCGTAGTTCGCGCAGACGACTGCGAGATAGTTTCCTCAGGCTAATGAAGCTGCATAATCGTTCCTCCACAGTCGGAAGACAGTGGAAACCCTGACCTAGACTTAAGTAGGTATGGAGGTAAGGTCGAGGTCACTTTCGTGTTTCCTCTCGGCGAGGGTACGGAAGTCATCGCGATTGGATCTACCTCTGTCGGATCAAATAGCGAAAGCTTTCACTCGAGCTGCATCGGTGGTTTCATCAAGACAACCGATGAAACGATAGTTAAAAGATTTCAAAAGATAACTGCGCCTCGATTCTTTTCGAGACAACTTGAGATTAATGAAACAGTTAATAAAGCCTGAAAGGAGGCTGTATCGCGAGACTAAAATTATCAATGACTTTCGCTTCCATTCCGCGTTTCATCGATGAAACGTCATTTTGCATGATTGAAGATCGCTGCTGTAAGTCACGGTGAAGCGAGAAGATATAAAGGTCGAGGTTAACGTCGGGATATATTCTCCGTAAAACAATCATTAAACGCACTAAACGCCGGCGATCTATCCTCTCGCAGCAATCAATGGCAATTGGCAGGCTACTAATTAAGACCCGAGGTCACCATTATGAATCTTATACTCATTGAGTAGAAGCGATTTAATGTTTACACAATCATCAGTAGCTACGTAAACGGTGAGATTTGCAAAATTTTTGTATTTACACGTAATAAAAAATTTATTAATAATGATAATTAAAAACATTGTATCAATTTTATTAAAAGCTTGGTTGCTTGCTGAGAAATAATAGATAAAAGTGAAAGCGTCATAATGTCGTATAAATTATTGCATTATTACATTATTATAATGTACTTGAAGGACTAAATGCCGTTGGTATATAAAACAAGGAAGCACAGAAAACCCTCTTAATTACTTTGTTATCTATTATCGCGCGGCAGACTACTGCAACAATCTTCTTAAGAAATTTAATCTTATCTGACGGTTTATACGATGTAATAAAACTACACACGCAAATCCGCATTCCGCTTCGCCTTCTCCTTCTTTTCTGTGATATACTTAGATTCTTTTGCGTTGATCAGAATTGTGATCTCATTAAGAATTCGTAACGAAAGGTTGCGGAGGAATCCGCAAGACAGAGAGCTTGTTGAAATACTTGTTTGTGCGGTTACATACGCGCTGCCTATCGCTATTGTACTCCCGTTATTCAAATTTGTTCAAGGAATTCCGGAGCCAACGTGTCACTTACCAGAATAGTTCCTCCAAGCATGTTCCGCCGCGGTGAAATGAAAACATAATTCATCCCGGGTAAACGCGCTATCGTAGGTACACGCTTCGAACGGTCGGGGGTACGCGATTTAACGTGCACTTTGTTGCGTCTACGATTTTTGCCGCTGTCACCGACCGGTAAACTAATCCGCGTTGAATACTTCCGGAGTAGCGCAAGATTACCTTCTTCGCGATGCGCGCAAAGAACCCGCGCGAAAACTCGCGGCCCTTTCGCCGTATAACACAGCGTGAAGTACACCTTCGTGCGCGATGGCGATAAATTTAGCCGGCCGTACACCGTTGGAGATATATATCGTTTCGTGTTAAACGCCCCAGGTCATAATCCCTCCGTCGCCGATGAAAGTGTACGAGAGCCGCTGGAGATTCAATTGCGTTATCAAAGCCCACGGCTGGATAATGAAAATCGAAATCTGCTAGCTTGTCTACCGTTTACAAGCACAGTACATGTATATATTCGTAGGTATTATTCGCGTATTCCGTCAGCCCTTTCACTTCCGGGTTTCTTGAGAAAAGGACCATACCTAGTTTAATTATTTTAAAGGTTTTCGCGAGATCGGTGTAGACAAGTGTGGGATCAAAACATTGTCGATCAATGAGGCAAATGTAAAAAATAAAATATCGTTTTTCTTTAATTAAGATTTAAACCATCTCCTTGAAAATAATGGCATATAAAATAAAATTGTATTTTATGTTCTGATACGAATTACAAATTGAATTATTGTGAATAGCAACTTTCGTTGACCTTTGCTAATAAATATATTTACGACATACGATCTGTTTAACACATAAGTACATGTAATAATACACTATTTACTTTCCACTTTGTTTTCGGTAATAACAAGATACGAATTAAAACATGTGCCATTTGCTTCACATTAAAAGCAGTGGTAAACAAGCGTAGCGTGTAATTATCTTTTGAATGGCAAATATCTAGAGATCGCATTGTGACGTTATCATCTTATTGACACCTCACTCGGCAAATAAGAAGCTGGGAAGCGTCATCTGGCTCGCGGGATGCGATGTTACTCGTATATATAGAAAATAAAACTAAACAGAAATATTGTGTCAACCGCTAAAATGACTGACGCAAAAGATGGAGACTTTAGCTTCAGAATCTTCGGTCGTAACTTTAAACTTTAGTACCGGAGGTAATTCCACATTCTTGTGTGTCTCGACGTATTAATATTCTACAAAAATTTCATGTATGAAATTATATAGTCGTACCACGATTTTACAACTTCTCTCGTATTCATACAGCTTCATAGAAGTTACCTAATACGTAGAATCGCAACGAATTGTCCACGAAAAATCTATCGCTTTCGGGAGTTGTGACAACGTGATACTCAATTAAAATTATGTAAATAAATTACCCGAAGAGTCCAATACGTCGAAAGCATAGTGGATTAGCATTCTAAAGTTCCCACCCGGGGATTAAACGTATTGTGCATATCGTGTGATATAATCGGGTGCGGCCGACGCGACGCGATGAGATATATCATGAGACATCGTGAGACGTAACGCAGTGAATTATCGAGACGCAGTTGCGTTCCGCGCGGTGGGCGATCGCGCGCGGAAAAAGGCGCGAATATGCGTACCGCAATTTTCACGCCGACGGAGGATAAAAAGAGGGCCGGTTACTGCCGCATATATGGACAGAGGAGGAAGTAGCGCGACGCCTCTCCGTCGTTGTGTCGTAGTGGCCGGTCGAAGGTTTCTCCGATCTAACGGATCGGAATCGCTCGTGTGCATGCGAACGTACACGCACGCATGCACGTATGGAAGATCGTTCAACGCGAGCCGATCCGGGGAGGCAGTTTTTCGTCCCAGTACTCCACTTACGACTGCTTACGACTCCGTCCACTTAAATTGAGACTCGCCGTGCGCCGCCGCCGCGCTGCAATGCTCGTCGTGCTTGATGATCAACGACGGCACACATATCGGCGCGGTTCTTGTGCTGATCTGCGCGTGTATGCGTAGGGCCACCTGGGCCACGCGTCCCTTGTGTACAGAAGGATAAGCCGGGGATAGGGTATAAGCACGTAAGTGGAACGAGAGTGGCTCTCGAGAGCGAGCGCCGCGAAAAGGGGGTCGTTCGATTAATTCGCGTAATTAGTGGCCCTTCCTTTCATTCCATATTTATTATGCTTCCGTTCGCCCCAGCCTCTCTGCTCTTATTTGCGTCTTTTCAGCTTTTCATAAGATAGCACAAATCTAATTGGCTTCGAAGCGAATGTCCAATTGAAGCCTCGCTCGAGCCGGAAATCGTTTACCGGCAAAACTGACGATGCAACGCACAAAAAGACTGCTTCTCTTTTACATCGCCGTGCGCTGGAACCTGCTTGTAAATAAATTACTCCAAGAGTTCAATACGTCGAAAGCATAGTAAATTAGCATTCTAAAGTTCCCATCCGGGGATCAAAACGGTAACGAATTCCGCGCGATACTCCGACATCTGTTTCCCTGGAATTCAAGATCTCTTTAGATACGGATCAGGTCGCGCTTGTTTCTCGACGACGAGGCGTGAATATCAGATGTAATTGGCAAGAACGACGGGGATTTAACATTGATGTCGCTCAATGCTTTATTTTAGACACGGACTGTAATTAGCGCGTCTTACCTGCAAATTACCGCCGCTCAATATCCCCGAGCGTTAACTTTCGTTGTGATGTACTAAATAGATGTGTACTTTCAAGACAACGATATGCAAGCTATCCGCGCGTTTGCACTGTAGATCTGTTACGATAAGAACGTCGGATATCAACGTTGTGCGTATACTATAGTTCTGATAGCACGCCTTTCGATCGGAGCGAAATAAAGATCGAAATAAAGATGCGTAACAAATCAATAGCCACGTAGCTTGGGATGTGTTTAACATCCATCATTACTTTTATTCCATTATTCATCCGCTTTCTTTGATATATTCATTTTTCGATTAACGTATTAAATAGTTCCCCTTACTTAATACACACAGGTCCATGGATTAATCAACGGATAATTACGATATTTCTACGCGAGTGCCGCGCTGGGGTGCATTTGAGTTATATGCAAATATCGCTAATATTTTTATTTTTCGAGCTCTCGACCTCTCTTTGAGAAGCATATACATATAGTCGCGGGAAATAGATCGAGCAGGACTCCCGCTCCTTTATCCTCGCACGTGAGTGTCCAGTCGGCCGTATCCCGCAATTTAATTAGTTTTTTGTCACGCGTTGAAATACGATATCGGCTCGTATACAGTTATAACAGATCACGGTGAACCGGTACCGCGTGCGCGTTGCCGATCGGTGTGTATTCGTAACTTCTGCTTCGGTCTCGAAAATCCTGTTGGCCAAATAATCGCGGCGTTCTTTCAACTCGCTTTCAAATTGCATTGTCATCCTGTGATATAACGTTAGATTCATCGTTGACTTAATAATCAAGATCAATGACATCAATATTGAATGAGTACGTAATGACAAATGTGACTAATAAAAATAATAAATTCTTTGCATGTGGCAGTTCTCAATATTCATCTCATCAATAAAATTAAATTACTAATCAATTTCTCTAATTAATCATTAAATTTGTTATATTATATTCCTCCTTTTTATAAAATAAGGATTACAACACGTATGTAATTCGTCGCATCTGTTTTTTACGTATGATGCAAGGCATGTTAGATTAGAGTTAAGGAAATAATTGAATTATATCATACGAATAATTCTGTTATAGTCAATCAGCGAAATATCGATACTTCGTTAAAGATTGTTATCCTTACTTACTTATAGCAAATCCTAGCACTCGACTATTATTTCAAAGTCTCCGAAGAGTCTACGCTTCCGATCCGCCTATGTACGCTAGGAACGATGCAGTTCTCGTCACGTGCCGCAAAGTCGATAAATCATGCGAGTGCTGCCGCATGCCATCGTCATTTCAAATAATCTAGCTTTAAGCCTCCTTAAGGCCAGTTCTACGATGTGTACGCGAGAGAGAGAGAGTGTGTGTGTGTGTGTGTGTGTGTGTGTGAGAGAAAGAGAGAGGGGAAAAAGAGAGACAGATACAATACAGATACTATGAGGAAACCGAGATCGTTTCGCAGAGATACCGGAGAAATGCTGGTAGTAAAAATCAACCATCCCTTGAAGATGTGACGTATACGAGAGTCTGATCTTGCGATCAACAACGCATCGTTGTGTTCCTATCGGTCACGTGTAATTACAGGGTATAGTACATAAAATATATCAGCACAGGGAACATTTTTATTTCGATAAAATCGACTAAAAGGTGAGTTTCTAAATAAACCAAGTTTATTTCTTGCACCATCTAGATTGGTGTCCTCGAAATTCCTTGAATTTCCAATGAATCTCAAATGTTATGATGCAAAGTTAAAATTTTCAATGGGAGCTACATGTTTTTAGTCATCGATCCGGTTCATTCATGAAAAGGAGGTAAAATAATTTTGTCCGTAATTACATCGTTCCCAGTGCATCTCCATGCGGAGAGGTAAGGCGAGGCGAGGCGAGGCCTCGTTAATGCAACACCGCGCGGACGTGTTACGGGACAATGCTATGAGGAAGACGAGATCGTTTCGCAGCGATAAAGAGCGCGGCAGCGACGACCGACCGGGCCGGGGTGATCGGCCAACCCAATGTGTTTGCCGCTACGCGCACGGAACTGTCCGATCCGAGCACGAGCTCCCGCGATTTTGACGGTATCGATATTGCAAATGATTTATGAGGCACTCTCACGCGGAACAGATTGGCGATAGCGCGTCTCGAGAGCGCGTAATTACGCCAAGACATGCCGAAAGATCGGTCGGAATCGTAGCCGGAAGCGTGACGATCTCCAAGCATCTTTAGATCGATCGTGGACGTAATTGACGCGAGATGCTCCTATTACTGACAATGAGAAAATCAGACGGAGACAAAAGTTTCAATTAACCGATAGACGAGAACACACCAGAAGAGGACTATAATCTGTAATAATTAGAAAGTACCGTAATTTAACAAGTATCGCAATTTGGCTTCTCGCGAAACAATACGATGTCTACATTCGCCAGAAACTTCCGTTTGTATACTCTTCGCGTCAATATTTACGCAGCCATATCGCGACCACGCACGTTATCGTAACTGATGTTATGCAAACCGGTTATAATGACTGATATACTATCGCGAAGATGTGCATCATTGAATCATCATGCTATCATTGATTTACCCACGAAGATCGCTCTATCGTTGCGAGAGTATATAAACATGATCGTTAAAGATTGATATGGAAATTAATCGTACTATGGCAACGCTGGAAAGTCACGATTAATTATAAAATATTTTATATTTAAATACTAATAGAAGATCTAAAGAAATTAATGGATCAGGCATCGAAAATAATCGAGAGATAATAAAATTTGACCCAATATATTGATTTCATGTGAAATACATAAAATGTTATGAAATAAAAACACGATCGGTTAAATAGATTTATGGGCTTTGTGGACAATGCACTTCGCCATTCCAACAACATCATCGATCAATGTAATAGAACGTGAAAAGCCTACGCATATCAGCGTTTCGAATCGTATTCAATGACAATAGTGCCGGACATTGAATAATTTATACTCGGACTGTGTCGATTTTGCTCCTCGCGTGTAAAGTGACTACAGCTTATTCCGCCAAAGGGAACTTTCTCGCATCACGTAGTAACAGAAATTGCAAGCTAACGAGCCGAGCGCTTCCAAGTGAACAGCGCAATGTTAAGAATTACTTAACAAGATAGCGTAGCGATAACTTTGACTGTGACGCACATTGCTGTCGGAAGGGAGCGTTTAACCGGACGATTATCTTGTCACGCCGGTGGTTTAATAATCATAAAGTCTCGATGAGTCGATGGGGAGGAGGTGGAGAAAGAGATGAAGAGATTTCTCTAACGATAGATTTAACTTCTGGCGAAATAGCTTCGCTATACGGGGTTAACGGCACGCCTGGTAACTGTGCCGTTAAAAATTGTAAAATCTATTTAGCCGACTGGCCGGTCGCCGTGAGGCACAACAAGTGCTTCCTCTAATTTGTCACGCGTCCTAACGAGTAACTCCCCGTGCCGAAGGATTCTCGAGGAATCGCGAGAGGAAACTAGCATACTATATAACTCCGGCACGAGCCCGATTCAAGTATATAAGTACGCACACTCGGACACCGTGCACTGCGTAAACTTGTAGCCACGTAATATGCGCGATCGTTCCGCTATCAATTACCCACACGGCGTTGTTCGTCTTGCCTGGTTTCACTTCTATTTCTGGTTCTCGCGACGCGACAAGATCTATTCATCACACGCGCGCCGAGCGACCGATTTTCCTCGATCCTGGTCGCGAAATCAAACCCGTCGCTCGGAGCGAAAAGAGATTGACGGGAAAGACAAACAGAGGGAAAGGGGCGAAAGAGGAAGAAAGTAATCCCGTATTAGTAAAATCGATTAAAGGAGATTCTGGAACTGGAAAACGCTTCGCGTGATTGTCGCGAGAGCAGCATCTGACCAGCTGATCTCTCAACTCTTCTTGCCAAAGATAGTCCGCACGAGAAGGAGGAACAAAAGACGGCGATTGGCATTAATCGTTTTATTTTAAAATAAAATATCGCGCGGCATATGCAGCGATACACATTCGTATTCCTATGTGAAATTGTTCCGGTTCGTTAAACTGATCTTTATTAACTGTTATCGATCTCGACGTCGTGCTCGCGCGATTCCGCCGCATCTGTGCTTTCCACTCTCGGGCTCTCGTTTCGAGGACAAAAATTCGAAGAGCAGCATCCACCCGACCGCCGGTGCATCCTTGCCGCGGTTCACCGACCCGCATATACCTTCCTCTCTCGTCCCTCCTTCCTTTTCTTCTTCTCCTCCTCCTCTTTCCTTCTCTGTCCGGGCGCATTCATTGTGCACCGTACCGCATGCATGCACGCGCGCGCGACCCGCAGTTTCTACGGTCCTATAATTCGATCTGCATTGTTCACCAATCGCCGATCGCCGCTTATCCAGACGTCGGTTGCTTATTGGTATAATTGATTCATTTAATCATGTCGGGAGAGACGGATAACCACTTGTCTAGTCGTCTGCGAACGGACCCCGATCGAATTCTTCAGCGCGATCAGCGCGAAAAGATCACGTCGTTCATCACGCAAATGCGAGACGCAACAATTTAATAAATACAATCTTCCTTCTGTTTTTTATTTATATTTAATTGGTTTATATCTTTATTTCGTTTATTATATGTGTATCATGAAAAATAATAATAGTTTCAGATTGATTCGTATGCAAAACTCATCAATTATACCATTGAGCATCTTATGAAACAATACGTTAATTAATTGGAACGATCTTTATGCGAGTTGATTTTTTTTTCAGTTTCGTGTACAAGTGCAAATCACTGCAGCAATCATTAGCATGTCAAACTAATACGCCTAACAACATCAATGGAATGAATAACGACATGCTGATGATTGTAATACTTGGTTACCACTACCAATAGAACCATTCACTACCAATAGAATTGTTTACTTTGATTAATTGTTCGAATGATTCAAATAATTGTAATCCTTTTTCGAAAAAGTTTACAGCACCCTTCAATTATTGCAAAAGAAAAGAGTGAATATTCGTCGAAGTCATGCGAGCGATTAAAACAATCATCGTTTTGTACCAAGGATAATTACATAAGCGTATATGAGGAACGTAACGTCGTTTTAAAGTTCATTACGCGTGCGAAACATCTCGTGATGGAAATTGTTTCTTTTTAATTATTATTCCATCTCGCGCAGTATATAGTGAAAATGATGAAGAGAGGTGAGTGCGGCGCATCAAGCGACCGCGATGCAACTAAAAAGGCGAATGATCGATAGATAGAGCGGGTTACAGGGCAGTGCGGTACGATCGATTTCGCCGGTGCGCGTTGTACAATCGAAAGAACGTCTGTAAATGCGTAGAGTAATACTCTTTCGGCTCTTCGAGAGACGACATCTTTCAGGAAACCACCCTTGACACCCGCGACGAAGTCAATTTAGATATCGCGAGCGACTCGAGACGTTGATATACGATGGCGCGAGTCATTAAGCGGTTCTGGACCGATCGATAAATTATAATCAGCGTAATTATACAGTTGCTCGTAAACCTGCTTTACGCCTGTCCGCGTGGCGTACGCTATGTGCAGCCGGCGTGCCCTGATTTCCCACGGAACGCAAAGAATCCTGTTTCGGCCAGTTATCGGGCCACGTACGTTTTACCGAAGGAGGTCAAAAAAACGACAGGGCGGCAAAAAAGTTTGCTCGTTTCTCTTTATCGAAGATGCCGGTTTTCGTGCAAATTTGGTGCAAACACTCTTTTAAGTGGGAAGGACGGGGCCGATCCGGTTGCCGATTACAGCGCAATTTGCGAGATTAATAAATAATGCGTTAAACCCACTTCGATCGGAGGCTCGTAAGGCGTAATAAAGCGCGCCTCGATGCGTTTCTTCGATACCCGACGAAACCGATGGTAACCGCGCCCTCGGACGTCCAGTATACATCCCTAACTGTAAAGTTCGATTTTATAATTTGTTATATTATGCGATCCGGTATGGAACGAGTGCCGTAAATCCCGTGTGCTGTTGACCCGACGCTCGCTGGACCGAGACCGGCGGCGGCGCAGACCTGCACACGGCAGATATCTGCCTCGGACGGTCAACCGGAAGTAATTAAGGTTTCGACAGAGAATCTTCTTGCGGATAAACGCTATGGCCAAAAAGAGCGACGACGAGAGAGATCTTGTCGGGAAATTACGTTATATTCCTCTTTCTCTCTCTCTCCTCTTCTCCTCTCGTCGTTTCTCTCGCCGACCTTAAATATCATCTCAATATAGCCTATGTATCCCTGCTCATGCAGAATACCCCGTAACGATTTAATATACCGCTTCACATCCCTCGCGTATTGTAACATTGCGAAAGACGATGTACCAGTGATGTACAGCAGCCTTTACTTCTTGTAAAAACCCGCGACACCGCGCGGTAACTTGCCTAGCTTTCGATATTGCCGCGTGACCTAGGCGCCTAGACGCCTCTACGACTAGACGACTCCCGGCTTGCTTTTATGACATCTGGCCATAAAGCCTCGCGATCGAGAAGCGTAACGAGAACCACTGCGACGCGACGGTGGATTTTACGCGCGTCCACATGCGATAAATATTCTCCCCGCCCTCGAGATTGTCGTCTAGGAATGCGTACGTGTACCTTGAGTACACCGTGTGATGCATTTCATAAGCCTCACGCGATCGCGATCAGCTCGCCGCGTGATTGTGCCAGGCCGATCTTATCCGATGTATCGCGTATTAAACGTTTCCGCGAGCGCTCTCCCGCGTTCAGCTATTTAATGGACTTCCTATGTTCAATGGACTGCAATATCCTGAGATATTCGAGCGATCGTTTCGTCAGAAGCGGCCGAAGCGGGAGCGATCCCGCACGGAGAGAACAACCTGGTTGTATTCCGTATTATGGTTAAACCATGCGTATGACTCACTTCCTCCACTTAGGCAGGTATTTATTTTTTGCTGTTGACTTTACTTCCTCCCTATGCCGACCGCGTTACATATATGCTTAAGCATTATTATTATTACAATTATGTCATTACAATAATAGGCGCTCTCTTAATACGCGAGGTATGTGATGGCGCGAGGTTACCGTGATGGCGCATAACAAAACGAAGCACCTAACAGTAAATGTTATTACATTTTTTTTTCTTTTTCTCTCTTTTTTCTTCTTCTTTAATCAGAGTACCGTTGACGCTTAAACTTCGCTTTTCTAACAGTACTCGGGCGTACTCGGTAGAACACGATTATTAAATGAGTGGGAAGACGAACAATTTGAGTGAAAGATCGTACCAATGTACATTTCACGGTAATGCGATTATTTATGGTAACGCGATGCCATGAAGATACAATTATCTTCGATAACGGTTCGATTAATATTATTAAGAATAATTATCATGCTTTACATGTAATCATTATATTATCAACGCATATGTTATCCTCGTTAACATCTGCATAATTTTTCACGCAGATTATGTGTCCGGTGCGTGTCCCAGGATATGTCCGCCGAGCGGCGAGCCCATTTGCGGCAGCGACGGTGTCATATACGCGTCGCAGTGTGAAATGCGGAAGAAGATGTGCGGAAAGGGTAAGGCGCTTTTAATTATAATAGTTATTATAGTAGCACACACGTTCCAGTTCGCTCGCATCGAGATTACAGTCTTTTCTCCCTTCCCGAGACGCTCGACTCGTCGCTGGATGTGTACCTATATCACAGTAAATCTGTATGATTTCGTTATTCCGTTTCGTATATTAAACGAACGTAAGAATAAGCGCGTAGAGACCCATTAGTAGCGGTTTATCGAGAAATATAACCACGCGATGGGCGCGCTTCAATTATACAATCGCGGAAATAACGCGACCTTCATTCACCGGTCTTCATGCGATATTACCGTGCTTCACGGCGCGGACTGCGGACGGTCACGATAAAGAGATTCCTATCGTATTCTCTTTCCATCGCGATATACCGGCGCGCCGATAGCCTATGGTAACGAGGATCCGTTCATTCGTATAATAGATGGCCACGATAAATTATACATGGCTGCAAAACGAATCGCGATTTCCTAGAGCGTCGAAACGAACTATTTACGCGTTAGAGTATCGGGTGATTTGTTCGTCGTGAACGACGAGGTCGTACGTCGTATACGTATACCTATACACCGAGCACCGAGATCTCGTTTCGCTTGATGACCGCGCGAAATCTATCCACGTATCTCATTATTTCGCCGTCGTACGCTCATTTAGGCGTTACCGTGGCCACGGAGAAGACGGCTTGCCTGAGGTCATCCGGTAGCAAGTGCGAGCATCGCTGTCCGGGCGATCAAGATCCGGTATGCGGCACCGATGGGCGTACCTACCTGAACAAGTGCATGCTCAGGGTGGAGATCTGCCGGGTCGGAATCGAGCTGTCTCATCTCGGGCCTTGCAACAATATTTCGGCCCACAGGGAGAACTGTCCGGTCTCGTGCGATTACGCGCCGCTTGACGGACCGGTTTGCGGAAGCGACGGAAACGTCTACAAGTCCACGTGTCAGATGAAGCTGCTTACTTGCGGGTACGTCGAAGGTCGGCCTCGGCCAATTACTGTTACGAGGATCGGGAATGTTCGAAATTACGAAAACCATGCTCAATAGCTTAATCTCTGTCTCGCATTTGCATGTCCACCGAGAATTTCTTTTTCGCGCGATAAAGTTAGGTTCGTTATAATATGTATTCGTTGATTATGTTTATATCTACAACTCACTTATTATTTCTCCCATTTTCCGCATGAAAAAAATTACTGGCTTTATAAATACTATAATTCACTATAGACGCAGTTGTCTCTGCTCGTAAAACGTAAAACGCGTATTATTCTGTGGGAAGGAGAGTTTATTCTCTGAGTTTAACATAAAACTAGCCTGGCCGCAAAACGATTTTGACTTTTTCCGGTTCGCAGCCAAGGCGTCGTGCGTACGAACAAGAAGCACTGCCAGACCACAAGACATTGTCGTGAATCGTGTTGGCGTGGTGCTAAGCCTGCCTGCGGTAGCGACGGCATTTTGTACTCGAACACCTGCAAAATGCGGGCAAAGAATTGCGGGTAAGCGACAATTCGTCCTCGAATTCAACATACAACTGGGATCGTCCACGCAGGCCCTTCTAACAAAATTCTCGCGAGCTCTAAAACGGCGTATATAACATGCCCTGTCTCCTCTGTTCCTTTCCCCTGTTACTCCTTGTGCGCACTTAATCATTCATGAATTGCTCCCCTGTACTCTTCGTTATAACCCCTTGCCTAACTTGAAGAACACTCGAGCCATTTTATCCTTTGCCTCTTTTCACCAGGATTTTTGTCTAAATATTAGATTTGTTAGAACGCGAAGCAACTGCGCGACTTATACACTGAAAAAAAAGTTGTTAACCTGACTAAATGCGTTCAATTAATTACCATTTTTTTTAATTGAAATATTTAAGTCAAGGTATTTAAGTCAAATTACGTCATGTTAGATTTAATATGTCGTATTTAATTTAAATACTTAAATATTTCAAATAAAAAAATTATAATTACTTGAACGGATTCAGTCAAGTTAACAACTTTTTTCTCTCGATATCTGAATTTGGACAACTGACTGATGAATTTTGTAATCCTATTTAACTGCGTTTCAACTCGCAAATCTCGTTGTGGTTTTATCCGACGCAAGGATTTCATTAAGCTCCGACGATACTTATCAGACTGTTTTTTAGCAAGCACGTCTTCGAAGTACCAATGTCGTTCTGTGTATCTCGGGAACGGACATCCGGAAGCAACGCGTGTCCCTTGGACTGCAAAAACGAGGCCGAAGTATCGGTTTGCGGATCGGACGGAAATATATACAGGAACGAGTGTGAGATGCAAATGCTAAACTGCGGGTGCGTATCACCTATCACCTATTTATATGCAAATCATAAATATATATATTTTTATTAAATTGATACCGTAGGAAACAAGTAATTACCTACACAACTTGTGTTTTTTTTTCAAAAAATTTCAAATTGCTTACTTTCTTGTTATACGAATAACTGATCGCCAAACGTGAGTCTTTAATGAAGTGTTAATCAACAGGCAACATGCAAGAAGAAAGATAACGGTAGTAGACTTTGAGAAGTGTCGATCCCGGCTAACGAAATGCATGAAGCAGCAGCAGAGGTGCGGAAGCGAAGTGGATCCGGTTTGCGGTAGCGACGCGAATACTTATCCAAATCAGTGCCATTTGAACGTAGCGGTTTGCCTGTAAGTTGTATTTATCTCAAAGGAATATTGATAAATTTACCCTCCCGTCAAATTTAAAAATAACAAATATTCTATCGTGAATTTTATAGGTTCATCAACGATACATTAATCTTCCTTGATTTTTAATATGTTTTAGAAAGGGCATCCAAATGGCTCATGTTGGCGAGTGCACGACCTTGAAAGAGATCGAACACTGCCCCGAAGACTGCGCCGAAGTACCCGAGGAACCAGTTTGTGGAAGCGATGGCAACGTTTATCGGTGATTAAGAGCATTATTCGGATTCCAGAACGTCCGTTGCCGAAGATTTTAAATTTTAAGGGCGCCTGCACCTCGAAAGGATCGTTCGATAGACCGACCCGTTTGAGGAGACCTCAGGCTGTTTTCAGAACTTCTTCTCTTCTGATACCCAGTTCTGATTGTGACTCGAGCGAGATAAATTAATGTTTATCAATTAAAATTTCCGAGATTTTGCCGGTGTACGTCCGTCCGTTCGCACTTAGTCGAACATTACTGAAATCCGATAAAATTATTTCCGATTATATTTGAAATGCAATAATAAATTTCCACGGATTAAAATCAAAACATTCGAACTGTAACATTTTTTTCGAGATTAAGAACAAGTCCAACTGAACGCAACGTGTTATAACACACAGCAATAATAAAGTTAAACGATTAAATAGCGGCCACGGATCGTTCCTGCTCCAGTGTTTACGGATGTGTCATGTGTGCACTCGTATGCATTCAGGTCCCTCTGCCATCTGCAACGTGAGACTTGCGGCCAGAGGGTGGTTCAAGTTCCGGCACAACACTGTCGCACCACCGCGCTTTGCAACCAGATTTGCAGTGGGGAACGTCAGTTTGTTTGCGGCTCCGATAACAAGCTTTATCGTAACGAGTGCGAGATGAAGAGGGACAATTGCGGGTAAGCCACAAAACTTCATGTTTGCATGTTTTACTGAAGCGTAGAGCTTTTGTTCGCGAGAAGTGCGCCAGGGGAACTTTTAATAAATTAATGCCAGACTAATTCTCGGAGGAGTCTCGAGAAGTGCATAATTGCATGAGTGAACTAGCTCCTTATTAAGCTTTCTCTTTTTTCTGTATCAGCTTTTATCAAATAATATATAATAACAAAGAAATTAAATCGTTGCTAATTGTGGCGGATAGGGAGAAAAGAAAACAAGCAATAAACACAAATATTGTTTTGATAAAGGCATTAAAAGTCGTTACTTTATCTTACAAAATATTTAGATTCTACTGGAAATTTTCCCGTTAATTATTGTAGATAAAGTTGTAAGATAAAATAAACGCTTTAAAAATTAATTTCCTTTTAAAAGAGAATTTACACAAGTTTTCTATTTCTCAAAGAAAGTAATTAATTAAATTACCTCAGAATAATTTGGTCACGTTATTTTAATTTTAAGCGTATAATTTTCATTCTGGTTTAATAGAGAAAAACTGCCCTGGAATAATTTCATTACCTTGTTGGAAGTAAGAAGGCTAATTATTCGAATTCAATTATTCTATTTATTCAGAAGCGGCTAGAGAGCCAGAGAGCGGCGCGTTTCGTGCCGCGCATATAATTCCGGTGACCGCGATCGTGCTTCTTCCCGAGATATAATACTTTCCATAGACTTTCATTACGCCCGATCGCGCCATTGAAATACATCCGAGGAAGAGAAGATTGCCTAAGAAACTGGTCCTCGAGAAAACGGTTAATTCGAGCCGGTATCGCGTGCGTGTCCGATGAAAGTCCGTGAGTGATTCACATCAGCGCCAGAGAGCCGTTCCATTACATCTTCTTTATGGAAATAATAAACCACTTGTATCGCGCCGCATACCAGCAGGGAGCGTTTTTGAACCTGCTGTTCAAATACGCGAAAGGAAAGTATCCTACTTCGGGAAGGTGAATTGAACACAATCGCGCGCAATCTCGAAAGTAGAAATTGTCGATGTCTTGATCGCGCGGCCCATTTTCCCAAAGGAGTCATTTTCTATTCTCGATCGCTTTCTAACGTGCCCATTTCTAATTGCACGTTTACCCGATATACGTATATTCGTGCCCAACAAACCCTAATGTTAAAAAATGCTGGCTGTATATACAGGCTTGCGTGACATAAATACTAATCGAAATCGACGTTGCCTCCTTGAACGATATAATTACTTCCTAAGTAAAATAATTCAGTGTTCTTTACTTTAATAATATCACGGTTTTCAAACAGAGAAAAAAAATATCTTGATTCCAGGAAACACGTATACGTCGTACCTATGAAGAGGTGTGTTCAGGGTTTCCTGTTTCGCGGCTGCCAGAAGATCTGTCCGCCTTATTACGACCCGGTTTGCGGCACCGACGGCATGACGTACAGCAACGAGTGTTTCCTGGAGATCGAAAACTGCCGTAGCAGGAGTCTCGTCACGAAAAAGTATCACGGAGTGTGCGGACAGCCGACGGAGGAGCCGAAAAATTATCTCTATTAAGCTCGACCGAGCTGGCACGGTGATACGAGAGAAAAAGAGAGAGAGAGAGAAAGAGAGAGAGAAAAAAGAAGAAGGAAATCGATCGACGAGATAATTTGACTCGTATCTCCCGGGGAAGATTTGAGAAGCGACAATTACCGTACATTGATTCGTCAAGTGTCACGAGTCCTGTAGCATTTAAGTTCGCTCGGCTCATATTAACCAGCTGTAAATTCGATCCGTTCCGATCGATCGAGTACTCGAGCTGTATACGAGCGTAAAACGTTCGCGACTCTAGACGGACGAGCGCGGCGTGACAGAGAGAAATCGTTCACGACGTTCACGTGGATTTCGGATATTCGATCGTCCCCCGATTTGAAACGCGCTGATTTTCCACGGGGGAGAAAAAAAACGAGCATCTTGCCAGTCGCAGTCCGGATTGTTATCGTATTGTTACTGCTATATTTCTACGATAATAGTACCGCGATTGCCGATCCCTTCTCGGACAGCCGCGCGGACGTTCGCGAATTCTCACCCGCACGCAGCGAAATTATGATTCGCAAAAACTGTTATATTGTGCACGACAGGTGACAAATCATATCGTCCAGATTACTCTAAGAAACTATCTTTCTTTTCTTTTTCTTCTTTAATCGGGAAAGGGTCGCCAGTCGCGTATGGATATAGTCCTTTCTTCGCACTTGACGGTATAGACTCATTATTATTTATTATAGCCTTAATCATTGCATACGACGCGCGATTCCGTCTCTCTATTTTTATTTTATTTTATTTTTTTTTTACGATACGCCCGTCGTTTTAATTATGACTACGTCAGGACGTATATTCTTATTTTAGGGGAATATTTGTGCTATTACATCTCCCTCCCGACATGTGATGTGTTTGTTTATTATTATAATTATTATCACTGCAATCTTAATTTATTATCGAGTATGCGAGAATCCTTCTTTTGTATCGACACTAACACTGTATACGCTTTCCAATGTCAATAATAAATCATATATGTATATTTTAAGATATAAAAGCTGCATAAATTATACGCGTAATAATTAATAATCATATCGAAAATGACGTATGTTATTTATTTATGCTAATTTCTACGGAAGAGCCCGGAATCTAACGTTCGGACCGTAATTGCGACACTATTAATAGTGTACATGTATCACGAATTAATACATATACCGATATAATTTGCCTGAGTTTAATTTCCAATGCAAAAAGGAACTTTGCGCTAGCAATAAGCATCGCCCTTCGCTTATTAGCGAATAAATTTAGGAATCAATATCGGTATCGCACTTGTATCCAAGGATGAGTTTGACCGAATTAATTTTTCGATTAATTTTTTTTAATCGACGATTACTTTGTCAAGTAACAAAATTTCAACACAGATAAAATATAGTAATTGTAACATTATTGCAGTTTGAGTAAATCTGTATTGTTTGACATATATAAAAAGAAAAATTAGAGGTTATATCAGCAGCGAATTATATGGTTAGAAATCTTGCTGCAAACAATTCCGCTTCTCAAATTAATTGTCGATTAAATTAATGAAGTCGAATTTTGGTTGAAATCAATATTAAGATCTAAATCTACTTACCAGCTGTTACCAGCTACATTGGCACTGTTGCTCGCTGCTCGGTCGGCGTCAACTTCGGGTGGAAGCCTTCAACGATTCACTTTCTTCGAGATCACTACTCCCGCGGATACGAACATCGCGGAAATACGGTTGACGAGCGCAAATTAACGCGACGCCGATTAACGCGACGATTTCCCAGCACTTCATTCGACACCCTCGGCGTACATTCAAGCCGTTCGCGACGTTTTAGAGAAGGAGAAACGCGAGAAACGCGGAGCGGCTTCACTCCGACTCCGCATTGACCAACGCAGCACGAAACAATATGGCCGATCGCTTAATGGATAACACATCGACGCGTCTCGCTGCTACTTTCTCACTGTAAAATTCAAATCGGCAAGATATGGAAAGACTATTTGGAAATTGTTGCGATTTTCATGACAAAACACGTTATTGATTCGACTTACTTAAATGATAAATTTCTTCTTTTATTTCTGCGTATAAACCAGAGAGAGGCCATCCCGTCATCCCGGTCTTTTTCGTGGGACCGTCGAAAGCTCCTGTACATTAGCGCCAGTACATCCATTTTCGAAATTGGTACTACGTAGCCACGTTCATTTTCCGACACTGCTGATAAAATATCATTTTGGTGCGCGTCCGTGCTATATCTGAAAAATGGCGCGGTTTCATCTGCACAATTTAATTTTATTTAATCTGGTACCAGTATCGAGGAAAAGTTATATATAAGCAATATTTTTAAAGGCCGTCCTGCTTGTACCGAATGTCATTGCGATTAAATGCGTTTTGGACTTTGTATTTTCTTAGTTATAAATTAAAAATATTAGTTCTTATCTCAGGTTTTAACTAACATCCGCTAGAAACAGGTCAACCTGTAGAGGCCCTCCACCGCCCCCGCCGATTCCGATCGGCGGTCCTGTTTTATTTACAACACGTTTCTTTCACATTTCTGTCATTACTTATTAATTTATTTTATTCCTCTTACAATTTACTTTACAATAATGTACAACATTATAAAAGAGTTACGTATTACAAAATTGATTTGACAATATACAATAAAATTATATACAATATTTCTTTTTGACATGAAATTACATTTGCAACATTCGCGGTTTGCGTACAATAACACGAAATTCTCACAATGTATAACGTGTGACTATTATGTAATGTTTCTTAGTAATTGTAACAAGTCCAAAGTCTATTTTACTTTATTTTTAATTTACGCGAGCAATCATGACCAAAAATATCGTTAATAAATTTATTACTTATGTTATTCTATCAAGGAGAATATTAATTATTGTTATACTTCATTACATTTTGCGAAACTTAAAGAAAATGATCAATACGCGAAAAAAATAGACAAAGCTTCGATGTAAAGCAATAATCAAGCTGAAAAATACGCGACGAAAGAAACGATACTAAGTTACTTTCAATATACATAATTTTTATAATATCCGTTGCAATGCGCGCGCGAATCCTTTATAATTAGCCCACGGATATATTAGCCGACGGGAATCGGGACGATGCGGCCATCTGTCGGCGCGACGTCATGACGTTCAACGGCGTCTCGCGGAAGATGGCGCGGCGCCACGCGCCGCGTTCGTATTGACAGGTGCCTCGGCAAGCATGGCGACCAGTGTTTACGACAACTGATCGCGGTCGATCGAACTCGCGCCTCGCGCCGTGTCCCGGTTGAGTCAACGCACGGCTGTTTACGGTGTCGGCGGTGACCGCGTTTCTCCCGGCGCGACGTCGCGCGCACTCGAACGGTTTCCGCGCTCGTGACAAACGCAACGGCGCAAAGCAAAACCCTTCCGCAAACGGCGCACGCAACTCGTGCGGCAAGTGGTGCTCGTGCTGGACGGTGCTCCTCGTCGGGGATCACGTCAGGTGGTGGAATCCTCGCCTCGCTGGCCTCGCTGCTCGCTGGAGACTCCTCCAATACCATCGTCCTCGTTATCGTAAGTACCAACTTGCCAACCTGCCAACCTACATCGTTATTTAACCTGAGACCAGACTCGAAGCGAACGGGACGGCGCGTCCGCGGCGTCGTCCCGTCACGCGTCCCGGCGCGTCCTCAGGTGCCGCGAATTTGACAGCGGCGGGGAGAGGCCATCTTTGAGGCAATCTCGTGTTCCTCCTCCGGTGTCGTTCACGCCAGCGAAGGAGGATCGCGATTACGCGAATCGTGTTACATAAAACCGGCCAGACGGCCGTACGCCGTGGGACGACGGCGGATAAGCCGACCGCGCGACGCGCGTGTAGGCAGGCCTTACCTGCCCACCTGCCTACGTCGAGTGCATGCGCGCGCGCTTCAGCTCGCGACGTGTCTCATACGCGCCGAAGGCCGCGCCGCGCGCCGGGCCCGTCTTAGTTCGCAAAATTTTAGTTCGTATCGCGATAAGTTGACGTCAAATGGAGGCTCAAACGGAGCACGTTGCGATCGAGACTCCAATCTCCCACGAGTTTCTGACACCGACCAAGTATTTGCTAGCGATTACATTCGAATGACCATGCGACGAATTTCGAGAGTTTCTTTGACAAGCGCGCGTCTCCCATAATTTTTCTTGCCGCTTGTGAAACGGAATCATTTTTGCACAATGTGTATCCTAAGCTGTGCGAAACGATTTTGCGCGATTTTTAGCGATATTTGCACATTTGCGTTCGAGTTTGCGTTCCTACGAAAACTTTGTTTAAACCCTCCCCCTTTCTCTCTTCTGATTATGAAACAGTCCTTTATATTAATTTAATATAACATCATTTTATGCTACCACAGTCGGTTGCCCTGTATTTTTTCGCGAAACGCGCTTTTTGCCTCGACAAATCTGATTTTTGACTTGTAAATTATATTTCTTTAAAATATCTTCGTGTTCTCGTATCTACTATGTAAGCTTACCGCTGCATTAAATTACTGTGCAATGCTATTATTAGAAATGTATAGAGAATCAAACAGAACGGAAATCACCTGTCGGTTCCGCCGCGCGCGTCATGTTATCTTATCATTATCTTCGTGGACAATAATAGGAAAAGTCATTGGTCAGGCGGTCACGCGACTACGATGGCGTACCTACTCCACTACTCCCGTTCGGCATAGTTTCTCCATCCGTGGAAGAATGGTTGCTCCTGCGTGTCTATGTGTACGTAATTAAATTTATCGATCGCCGAGGGAGACGTCGCGTCGCGGCGGCATTCGAGAATGCGAGAATGTTCATGGATCGCTCTCACGTTTGTCACGCGCCCTTTCCCCTTTTATTTCGCATTTCCGTCAAGCGTGTGGCAGCGAAAGAATGCGGTTCCGGCGTTGAATTGAAATATCCGTCATAAATAATAATTATACAAGATCGCCGCATCGGCGTCGGTCTAATCGCGTGTTCCTTCTGACATAGTTTTCCTTTCCCGAAATCGAAGAGACTCCATCTCTCCGTAACAGAGATAAATGATCAACAGTCTCTTTGCAGTCCCTTTCAATTAAAATTAAAATCGTTAAGTAGGTGTCATGATTATATTTTATGTTAATTTTTTATAATACCTATTCTTATAAATCAGATATACGAAGTCCACCATCATCCTTTTTCGGCGATGCTGACTAATTCTCTCGCTATATTACGCTTAAAATTTGACCGATTGCATCATCAAAAGTATACAATGTAATAACATGTTTTTTTAAGTATTAAAAATATTTGTCTATGAACAAATAGCACGCGCTTAGCGCATGCATTATTGTATTTTAATATGTTTGGAATTAAGCTCGGCTAAAAGCAATTAAATTCAAACATCGGTTCAGTATCTCGGACAAGTACCTTGCTCTGTCCATCAAATGAATTTCCAAGCGAATTGACCTACAGATTGGGCTTCTGCCCCATGATTGTTACATCGTCGCCGTCGCGCCGGCACTTGCACGGCTTTTATCACTTTTGCGCATAGCCAGAATATATGACGCGTTATAAAAGTCTCGGATGCTTTATATTTTTGCGGCTGATAAATTCTTAACCACGCCATACCGCGGCGCGGCGTGATTAATTTACGTGTTTTTATTTATTGAAATGCTTGAAACGTAGCGTAAACTTTTCAAGTTGTTTCATTCGAAGATAGCGGACAGATTGCAACGCGGTGAAAGTAATTCTTGATATCTGTGATAACAGCCTCGTATCGTGTTAATTGTAAATTGTGATGATATTGGAATACGAGGCACAATCGCGATCGAGTTTGTTTCGCGCAACAATATTTCGCAAACTATAGCTCGTATTGCATCGTTGTATAGAGTCCTATACTATACGCTTTAATAGATGATCACGTAATCCTTGCCAGCGGCGCGGCTCTCGTCTCACCCGATTCTCACACAGACGCGATATTCCAGTTGGATGCAAATTATTGGCTCGGATCGACCGATATACTGTGATTATATAATACGCGTAAGTCAATACGCACATTCGTGTCGAAGAAACTCTCGTCGACTCTTAACAATTTGCAAGCGCGGTGTTTTCGCGATTCTTCGATCCTCGTGTTCGCTCGTCGTCAATTTATTTATAAACTGTCGACGTCATACCATATTACAAGACGTCGGACAAGATTGGAGGCTTAAAAGCGGAAAATCATTTAGATCTTGTTCTGGTTGTCCACGCGAAGGCCGCCAATCGCCGCGAATATCCGTGCTGCGCGCGGCTGCCGTTGTTAAGATTAATTATATGCCACAACAGCTTGAAATGATCTATTGTGTCTTAACGGCCGTGTCACACGCTCCAACCTTGAGTGTAAGTCGAGGGAATTGACCTCGGACCGGATCTGGAATCCTTTTTCTTCGGGGAAGGGTAATGTGGAATTATAAAAGGGTGGTAGGTCTTGCATGTCATGCTAAAAGTCCCATGCTTCGGGTTTTAAACGAATTGCGACTGTACGGCGAATATTTTGTTTGAATGCCTGTGTCATTTAACTCCAATCTCGTTTAAATATATATGTAAGCCCTAATGCAAGTTACGCTGCTGTTATAATATCGCGTACATACTTTCATAAATATTCCTCGTGAAGTTTCAAATTAAAACGTGTTTAACAGCACAAGTAACGGTTGTTTTTATTTTTCGTACACACATAAATACATTTATATATATATATGTGTAAATTTAAATTATGTGCAAAGTTAATAGAAGCTGATTCGATCGTTAATCATAATTCTCTCACACTTTTAACGCGGTCGACGCGGATAGCGAAAGTTTACCGTCGCGCAAGAGGTTAGCGATTCTACCATCGATCATCTTGATGTTCAGCCCCGTTCCAAATTTATCAACCACTTTCATGCTTGATTCATCGTAATTAGCCGAAACATCTGAAATTGGAGCTTCGACAACAATGTCCGTTACTCCGCCCCGCTGTTTAATTTCGTTACTTCCGATCCCGAAATCCTTGTAATCTTTTCCATTGCCAGTCTTCGTCCCAATTTTCAGTCCTACAAGCCTAAACGTGTCGTCCTTTTTCCTCATATTTGGCTCGAGATAAAATTCACTTCTCGGTAGTTTCACGCAGTCCTTGCCGCGCAATTTCTGCATCAAACTCGACGATCCGTCAGTTAATCTCTTGCAGAGCCGGATGTAATTTTTTCTCCCTCTCCAACGATTATCAACGACCCAGACCACGTTCTCGTCCGTGTCCTTCTTCGACGTGACACCGACGTCCAATCCGAGCTGCATACTCGTTTTGGCAAACTTATCTCTTAATGTATCCTTAATATCCGGGAGGTATAGGTGAAAAGTCGCGTTCTTCCTGTTTTCTTCCGTCGCGTCTCTGGAACTCTTAACCCATTCCTCTTCCGACGAAAATTCTTTAGAAGCTTTACTCTCGCCTGATAATGCACCTTGTGACCATCTCGCTTGATTCGCAAGCTGGACGTTCGTCGAAATGTCTCCACGAATGGGACTTAACGGAAGATTTTTCGATTCGACTTTAGCTTGAAAACCTACGTTTAGTTTCGTTGGGTCTCTTATGGAGCTAATAGGTCTCGATACTACCAACGGATTCAAGGAGCCATCCAAAAATTCAAATTCGATTTCCCCGTTATCTCCGTGAATTTCATTCGGTATGCCAATGATATCAATGAGGTTGTTCAATTGTTCGGCTACATTTGTTGCTACTTTTCTAAGATCATGTGCGTTCTGAGAAAAATACAACCAAACTTAATGCGACTTATTGCATCGACCAGTGTAATTTAGCAAAAAGAAGACTCACCAGCAATGGTAACAGGTAGAGAAGAACCGTGAAGGGAAGAGCAAAACTAAGAGCGCCCATCTCGATTCGATCAAGCGACCGATCCGATCGTCAGACGAACTAATCCTTACTCCGATTTCTTTATGTACCCCGAGTAACGATTTACTCTTCGCAGCCGTCAGTCACGCTTTTCTATCAATTTTCATTTTAATGGCGCGTCGCATGTAATTTCGTTCATTTACGACGTATTGTCTGTACAAATATCATCTTTGCCATTTGACTTTGCTGCGGTTAGTAATTACCACTTGAGGGTCGTTCTTTAACTTAAACATAAAATTATTCTTTTATCGTAATCACGTATTTTAAATTAATTTTTTTTTTAAATAAATTTTTATAATTTTACACTTAATGAGGAAATAGCTTGAATCTCTTTTTCTACGGGAATCTTAATGATATAGGAATTTATTATTCTTATTAGACTTGGTTATTAATTTTTCTTACTAATTATCTATGTGATTGCACAACATCGGAAATGTCTTCACGACTCTCAACGTAGCCCGCGAAATAATTCACCGACCAATATTATACCTTCTGCCGGGATTCATCGATTCAGCCGGATTTTCAGCTATCGGCGAGTTAATGGTGCGTGGCTTGAAAATTTATAGTGCGTATAATCGAAAGTTCGTGTTTGACTCTCTCATCTCCTTGCCTTGATGTATATATACTTGCATCCTGTTCGATACAGCCCGTTCGATATATTACTACAAGAAAACACGTATTATATCACATCTTAGATATATTTATACATGTAGATCGAATTAGTTAAACATTATTATCGTTATTTGTAATTATCTATTCATAAATATAACCCTCTTGTGGCTATAATAATTTTCAACCCGTTAATATTTTTTTCTTTTATAATCTTATTATCGTAAATATAACGTATCTATTTTAATTCTAAACCGATATATTAAACAAAGTTTCTATATAAATTTTTCTTAATTTATAATTTCTTTATCACAATTCTCTGCATAATTCTTTCAATACTCGAAGTAACGTGTAATTATAATTAACAAATTATAATTGTGGAATTTTTATTAAATCTGTGTGTGCCAAATAATATCAATTGATTATTATATTAAACTTTGTTCATAAAATGAGGACAAAAAATATAACACTGATTTAATTATGGAATTCGAATCTTATATGCTATATTGCGTTCCACATTCTGCAACACCAATTATTCTACAATTGTATTATCGATAATTTTAAGAATATTATTTACGATAATCATTAATATTATTTTTTATCAGCATAAAAGGAGCGAGTTGAGCGCGATTACGAACGCGGCAGTACGCCCACGCACGATGCCGTTTATAGTGGTTCTCGTTCGTATTTCCGGTCACGCGATTGTCCAGCCCTTAATTAATTGTCGCCGCGATCATCGACCGATCACTGACATAGAAAGCTTGTCACGCATAAAATTCCTTTTTTCTGAATCTTCGGAATCACCCATTAGTCGATGTAAATAATAATGAGAAGTTAACGAAACGTATTAGTGTATGCAAAAACGTCTATTATCTCGCTTCGAAAGCGCAGTGTATACATTATCTACACATCTACGTGTCAGAAACCGGAAGTCGCGCGACCGCACATCACCATTGTCATGGCTCACTGTGGGCCCCTTGCGATAGGTCGTAATCTTATCTTTACGTTCTTCACACCTATCGCCGTGAATATGATAGATAAGAAAATCCGTTGTCTTAAGAGCGCTTCCCGCTTTTACCGCTTTGAATTCATTAATTGCCGCGCTCTGCTAATTACAAAGTACCGTAAATAATTAAGTCTGCAGATAAGTCTAACGGCAGCTGCAAAAGAGATTTAGTCAAACTTGAAACTCTTTGTTTCAGATAAAAATCAACGGAATGCATCGAATTAATTTTTCTTTTTTGATAGAATTATTATATATTTCCGTTTAGGCGTGTTAATTTTTTCCAAATTATAAATAGACATCTCTTGCATCATACACAGTTTTATTACGATTGTGCGATGACACGCTGGACGACAATTTGCGAATTGACATGGTTGAGACAATTTACTCAACGGCGTACTGACGAAATTTCCATCTCGCGCGATCTCGCGATTGCTGAGAGCAACGACGTCGAGTAGGCTTGCGCGTTTCCGGTAGATAGAAACAATTTACCGCGCACGCCTTGCGGCAACTCGGTCGGATTACGAAGATGATATCAGTCATTTTACCACGGTAATTAACGCCATAGACGCGCGAGCAATCCCAAGAGCTTTTGTTTTCCGATGAGCCAACAAGATGCATATCCCCATTAAATACTGCTATTATTAATCATTCAGGACATAAGCTTTCATGTAAACGTGCATTTGATTCGATTTCCTCCATTATTTTATTTAAATCGTATACTTTATGCATTAGTCATATTTTCTTCGTTTTTTTTATCTCGATTAAGATAACGACATAAATAATTTAATTCAAGCCCATTTTAAATGATTTATAGTTCATGACAGAATTCGGAACAGAACTGCAACATGAAGAATATTTTAATCAGTGAAATAAGGAGCTATTATAAATTTTAAATGTCCAATCGGTCGAAATAATTCAATCGAAGAATGCGATAACAGAGTTGACCTTCTTTCGTTTTCAGCCTACTCGTACGCTTTCGCTTTACGAAATACGACTTTAAACGTTCGTCGGGGGAAAAGAAGGATTTACGACGGAAATAATTTTCGGAGCTCCCAAGAGTTTATTCGGCACCGTGCGCTCTTAACAGCCACTATCTCGTAAAATCTTCGCGCCACACTCGAATCTGCCTTCCTCTCCCCGGTTCATTGACTTCGTTTACGACGATTGCTTATTTTCGACTTTTTGCCACATCTCGCAAGTTACTGCAAAAGTAATTTAATCTTTGCGTAAGGGTTAATGACAAAAATATTTAACAATCACTCAACAGTCTCAAATACTGCACTCTTATCGAATTTGAGATTATGAAATTGAATCTTATTGCAAAGAAATAGCGCGTTGAGTGTATTATTCTTTCGTTTATTAACGATCTTACACGCGAGAGAATATTTAGGCGAACAAGCGTGCAGCGGTCGGCGAAACGAGCAATTTCGAATATCGGTGCGCTCCGTTCGGCGTTTACTTCGCTTCGCGTTCCGGCGCCGTTCCGCGCCGCTTTTTCTGCGACCGATAATAAGCGGTCGCACTAAATTGGCCGATCATTTCAGGTGAGTCTACCTACGCGGGCCTAGTAGTTAACATCCGCCTCCGTCCGGTTATTATCCCGCGGGATACGGCCACCTCCCGTGCCTCTCCTTTCCTCCAGTTGCCCTCCTTGCACCTCATAAAAGATAAACATTGACGGGCAAATAAGAATATAACGAAGCCACTTGAAAATACGTATCCCTTATTAGTCAATGGAAAGACAACTCAAGACGGCGTTAGAAAAATTATCCATCTCGTGTGCGTTCAGACTTTTCTCAAATTTTTTTCACGATTTCGCGCAGCCTAGCGAAACGTCTTATCATCAAGAGTCATAAACGTTCCACGCATTTTCCCGGGCGCGTTGCGTCTCCGCCTTTCTCTCGTTCCTTGCCACGCCGTTTGCGGAAAAAGAGAAAACGTCGGAAACGAGAGTATAACAAGCCGTCTTTCGTTCGACTTCTCCAGACACATTCAGGCTACTTATTACGCGCGATTCCTCACTTTGTAGATAGCGAGGAAGATTTCTTTTTTTTTCTTTTTGTTTTTCTCCTACCTCCGCGCTCCTCCATTATATCCCTTTTCATCTCTCCCACGATCGTACTCGACATGCTTTTACACGCAGTTACAATTGTAGAAAAGAAACTTCAACTGGAGCAAGAAATCTCCATCGGCCAGCCTCTTTTTCTTCTACCTCCACCCAAGGCTGTATCTCAGAACAAATCGCGGTTTCTCGTCGAAGGGTGTTACGAGTTTATACGAGCGATGAAAGAAATTTCCGCGAAGTGAAAATCTCCCGGTGTTTTATGTTTCTTGAAGGGATTCCTCCGGAAAGTAAAAAGTTCTCGCGATAAACACATAAAACAGCGACTGCAATTTATTTGTAACAATTAAAATACATTTGTAAGTATCTTATAATTCAGTTGAAGATCACTTTAAACGCTAAAGTATTACAATAGTGCATTATAATAGTTCACGTTTTTTCCTTACGTATTATTTTAAAAAATTAGATAGATATATTTTAATCTTTTTACATGTCAAAGTATTTTTTCGCGCAAGAGAGATTAATCTGCAAATAAAAATACCGCGTTTGTCTCATCCATTTCGGTTGTACTTTTCGACCAGCAAGGTCTATTTACTTAGATCTTCTCTTCTTTCCGTTCACCGATGATGCGCGTATCCTAATAGCTGTCGTAACTAGCGCGAGGAACGACTAGCTCACTTGACCTTAGCCGCCGAGTTCAACGTTTTCCATATTATCAGGAACATCCTTTTCAAAACGTCGCGGCGTCTGCAAATTGGCGTAAAGTGCTCGAGCGACAATAACGTCCTCCGTTCTGTCTTTTCCCCTTCTTACTCCTCTTCGTCTTCTTCAATATCTTCTCGTCTCGTCGTCTCATCTCAATCCGTCGTGGGTGGTGGATGATTCAGCTACGAGTACTATTACAAGTACTATTCTGTGAAGAATAAAGTTTTGGTTTCCAGGTAGTCTAACCAAACAAGGGGTCGATCGGCTATCGAATCGCAAAAGATATTATGAAACATTGAGGAAACGCATATATTTTCGACAGTTTTTTAATTATATTGCGATAAATATAGATGCATGATATTTATTATACATAATTATTTTTTGTAATTAGTGACTCTTCCTGTTTTGAGGTTTGTCAACGATGATATATAACGGCGATTACGTAATTATGTCAATAGCGTATCAGATCCCAGAGTCCCCTCTTATGGTATTGACCTTTCCGTTCGTGCGCACGTGCTTCCGTGGAACTTAAAATAGACGAAGTGCTGGGGTGGCGACAAATAAGGTCACATGCATAAGAACGAAGTTTCGTCGACCTCGCTCAATAAGCTTTTAGAAGATCTAGAGTGATTAATTTCGTGGTGGGTTTAATGTCGTCGTTAATCATCTTCCAATCCACAGACACGTCAAGTGAACAATCGCGATCATTTTCAAAACAAGCATTTATGCATAGAACAAACATTGGTGACAAATTGTTTCTTTGAAGACAGAGTAAAATATCTTAGAAAAGATGCCTTTACTTAAAAAAAAGGAGTTCTAATGAATATTAAAGAATATGTGGAGTAGGTACAATATCTCTAATATTAGGTCTCCAGCATTGCTGGAATACCTTAGATGAAAATAAAACTCATTATTAAATGAAACTTACATTTTATTTGAGCCCACGTGCGATAGTAGATAGGCAATAAAAGTTTGTCGGGGTTTAACCACGAAATAATAAACTGTTAACGAAGTTGCATGCTCCCGTTCATTTACATTGCCGACCGTTGAATCGAGGCAGTGGCTGTCGCCACGTCGACTCCTGACAGCTGCGTCGACACGCATCGCAAACATCAGCTTTCACGTGCAAGATGCATCACGCGAGCAGTTGAAACGGAAATCAAAAGAAGAGACATGGAAAAGAAGAGACACGATATCGCGACTTTTCTTTCTATCGATCGCACTTTTATCAGCGCATTCCTACCGGTTTTTGTCTGCTGCCAGACAGGAACATCCCGAGACATCCTACGACCGAAAAATAAACTGGAAATAATGCACGACCTTCTAAACCAGAGTTTTCGTAAATTTTCAGTCTAAAGTTATCTGTTTTTTTTTTATCTATATCTATACGAATCGCCTAATTTTCATCGTCATGCAAGCGTGTGGTCCTACATCTGCGATCCTCCTCCTTTCATTCTTTTTTCGCCTCTATCTCGCACGGGCAATTTGTTTCACACACGTGTCGTCTCTCCCGCTAAGCAGTCAGGATAAAAAAGTAGCCGGGCGTTTGTCGCTCACTCCGAATGGTCTGTCATGACTTCGTCGTCACGTTCCTCGCAGCGACGTACGTCGTGAAGGCACGAGTCTCCCGTTTCCATTCCTCGATTGAGTCACCGGTGTATATGATCTAAGAGAGTCGATCTAAGTAAGAGCTATTATGATTTCCACGTTTACGTCATCATTGTTTTTACACCGCACTAAGAAGCATTTTGTTTTACATTTATCAGACTTTTTGTCACATTTGTTTTATACTGACTAAATTTTCTAGATTATAGTCAACAGATGCGATCAATTTTTAATCGGCAACTCTCTGATGACACATTGTCACACACGTAATCAGAATTCTAGATTCACTCACAAGTAATCGCAATAATACATATCTGATAAAAC